GAGGGGTTGTCCGCCACCCAATCAAGAGTGTGCTCACAGTGGCAGGGTAATTCAGGATCAGATCCACCCAGGGCTGAGACTGAACAGTACTGGAGAAACATATGGGACAAGGAGGCATCCCACAGGCTCAGTGGCTAGAAGATCTAAGAACTAGAAGATCTAAGATCTAAGAACAGTAACCGTTACAATGGCAAAGTTATGAAAGTATTATCAAATGAAGCCCAGGCAGAAGTTCAACTGAATAAACTGTCTGCAGTCAGAGGGTCATCCATCTGCGAAGCATCCAATTAGCAATCAACCACACCTGCTCATAATCCAACAGCGTCCTGCTTAAGACTTCAACAGCTCAACCTGCCAGCAACAAGCATTGGAGTTGGATTGTATGTCAGACTTTCAACCCTCCTCCATCCCCTTCTCCACCATCCTTTCAAGCTCCTCTGGCTCCTTCTCCATGCTGCTGCCTCGCCCCCAATTGAAGTCATCCTTTAGACTCGTACTGCTTTCACGAGGCACCCCCAGCCGGTCTGGCAGAAAACTGCCATGTTAAGCCTGGTTCAGCCAGAGATTTCTTCCCAAAGGGGAGTTTTTTTCTCTCCACTGTTGCTCTATGCTTTCTCATCATGGACTTCAATTCAATTCAATTCAGTTTATTTATATAGCGCCAAATTCACAACACATGTCATCTCAAGGCACTTTACAGTTCAACCAGATCATACAGTCAAATCGATACAAAGTTTTCTATCTAAGGAAGACCGGTTGATTGCATTGACTCATTGACTCAAATACAATCCCCCACACTTACTTACATACATACTTACATACTAACCTGCGCCTTGTTCCAGCTGACAAACATCTTCATACCATCTCCATTTCACCACCAGTTTTAAGCTTGGGGGGGGCTTCATCCCTGTTCTCATCCAGGAATTTATGCATATAATAAAATTCATTGAGCGCAAAGCCAAAAAAAAATCTTCCTTTAATTAGTTTTTCAGGTTGAACCGTATTTAATAAGTGAGTTTGAAGATGGAAAACTGCTTTCTGGTGATATTTGATAGCTTAAATATAGCTTTAGGGCCTCAAGTGGTGAGATTAATCCAACCAATAAGCAACAATTAAAATTTGCATTGTGCCTTCCTGTATACAAACAACTAATCCCAAACCTGCGGAAGTAAAAATCCAGTGGGATTGATGGAAATTACTCTGTCAACTCAAGTCACTTTCACTGGAAGATGGGAAGTGCAGTTCACTGCAGTGACTGACTGTGGTAGATAAATAAGTAAAAAAGTATTCCAGCTATCTTTTCAACAACAAAAAAAGAAGGACTTGTCAGCACCCTTCATCTTAAATTTAACTGCACAACTCCCTCGTGCAATAATGGTGCAGGGGGAATTCCTCAACCGCGACAGCCCTACTTCTAAGTGTGTTCAGATGTTGGTAGGCATCATGATGAGGATGTTTTCACTTTGTGTGAATATTTACACCTTATTTCACTTTAAGAAAACATCTCTGTCCTATTTAAGAACCTTTGCCAGAAGGCGATGCGTGTGAAGATGACTCAGTCTGGATGCCAAGTGCCTTTGTGGATCCATCAGTTTCCATGAGGTAAAGCTGGTGATTTATTTGATGGCCTCTAAGCACCTTGACCGCAGTTATTGTTTGACTTGAGACCAGAATTTGTGTTCTGTTCATTAAGCAGCAATCAGAGAACATGAAGTAATCAAACGATATGACATCCCATAATCTGTGCACAAGAAGACGTCCAATGAAAAAGACAGGATATGCTATCTCTCAGACTTGACCTTATAGCGCAGTACGAGGTAAGTCGTCAGTCGAAGGATGATGAAGAAGATACCCAAGACAATGAAATCAATGTAGAGCTTTGCGTCTTCCACATCTAATAACTGCAGGACCTCCTCAGGCTGTTGGAATTTACACACCTTCCCAGGACACTGCAGCTCTGAGCGGTTCATCCCATAGATAGAGAGCAGCACACCTTCAAAGCTGTACCTGTTGAAGGGATACAGACAGTAAGAAGTTGACAATAAAGCTTCTGTTCTCATAGAGGGAAGAGCTTTTTGTGAATGTGGTCAACAAAAAAGTACACAATATACTGAAAAAAATGGGAAAATTGGATACACCACACTGACTTTTCAAAGATTCAGTGAAGCTTTGCTCCCAGATAAAAAAAACAACAACAAAAAAAAAAAAACAATCCACTGGACTTTGTTTCTCTTCCATCCAGGAAGATTTTTCAATTCAAAATGTCAGAAATAGCGTTTAGTTCCAGGTTTTACACTGTAGCCCAACAAAGCCTGGTTTTAGTTTAGAAAACATGCAAATAGAAACAGATGAACGGGTCCCCCCCTTTGGAATGGGGGTCGTTTGGCTTCTTTGTTAGCCTGCAATGCCCCATACCTGTCTATGTCTCTAAAAGGGGGGTTGTTAAAGGCAATCGTTGGCCTTACTGAACAGGTGGGAGCTTCTGTCTTCTGTACCGGCCAGCAATTCCCCATAACTTTTATGAACATAATTTCTAGGTGCAGCCAAGGTGTTGAGGGGATCTGTTTTGGTGGCCTTAGGATTGCGTCTGTTATTCGCAGATGATGTGGTTCTATTGGCGTCATCAGGGCGTGATCTACAGATCTCACTGGATCGGTTTGCAGCCGAGTGTGAAGCGGCCGGGATGAGGATCAGTGCCTCCAAATCCGAGACCATGGTCTGGAGCCGGAAAAGGGTAGAGTGCCTTCTCCAGGTTGGGGAGGATGTGCTGCCCCTAGTGGAGGAGTTTAAGTATCTTGGGGTCTTGTTCACGAATGAGGCGAAGATGGAGCGGGAGATCAATAGGCGGATTGGTGCGGCGTCTGCTGTGAAGCGTGCGCTGTACCGGTCTGTTGTGGTGAAGAGAGACGGAGCCAAAAAGCAAAGCTCTCGATTTACCGGTCGATTTACGTTCCTACCCTCATCTCTAGTGTGTCTGAGCTCTCCCTTAGAGATAGGGGGAGGAGCTCAGTCATCCGGGGAGGACTCAGAGTAGAGCCGCTGCTCCTCCACATCGAGAGGAGCTAGTTGAGGTGGCTTGGGCATCTGGTTAGGATGCCTCCTGGACGTCCCGCTGGTGAGGTGTTCCGGGCACGTCCCACTGGGGGGAGGCCCCGGGTGGGACCCAGGACACGCTGGAGGGACTATGTTTCTCTGCTGGCCTGGGAGCGCCTTGGGATTCCCCCGGAGGAGCTGGACCAAGTGGCTGAGGAGAGGGACGTCTGGGCCTCCCTACTGAAGCTGCTACCCCCATAACCCGATCCCGGATAAGATGGATGAAATCTTTTCATTTTTTTTTGTGTGCCACTAAGCCTCAATCTGAAGAGACTGAAGCAGACCTGACTGTCAAACAGTAATAATCTTTATACATCCCCATCCTCTAATATGCATGTTCTGATGATCAGCATATTTTCTGCATACATTTATTTTTAGCCTGCCCTTTTGAGAATTTTACAGACGCAAACCTAATTTGCATCCTGTTAAAAGGTGAGATTTTATAAGCTTTGAAATGTGCACGTCTCCACAAGTAAATTAGATCTGACCTTTAGATAAGTAAGAATTTTTAAACTAAAAATCAATTCTATATTAGCTCACTTATTTTTCTATGAGTGATTAAATAATTGACAGGTAGTTAAAAACATCAGTATTTTAACATAGAATAACAAGACACACATAAAATATATATATATAGCATATAAATACTTGGAGGTTAGCACCTTGTCTGATAATCTGTAAACTGTGGTTCAAATGACCATGATGCTACTTAGATTCACACACCTGACGTACGACACATAGGAGCTCCATTGCAGATAATTAGGGATGGTGTCGAAGTTCACAAAGAAACCAGAGAAAAGCAGAACTGGGATTGCTGTGACCGGTCCAATGAATGTAGCTACCTGTAGATCCATGCAGAGGACAAAACATGTCAAATGGGCACCGTGAGAGGTCCTACATTTCACTGAGGATAGGGATTCATCGCACCTGAAGAGATGTGGAAGCAGCACCAACCAGCAGGCCTAAAGACTGGGCCACTAGGGCAGTACAGATGGACAGGGCTATGAAGAGCAGGTAGCGGGTGGCCTCTGGAGGCTGCTCTGTCATCCAGTACACAATGCTGCAGTACATGATGGGGCAGATTACCTGCGACAATGGGAAAAAGGACATCATTGTTCTTAATCTGATTTTTAGTTAGTGAGGCATTTCTTGCAAGAAATAAGGTTCTGATTTATTTAACGTCCTCAGATGGAGAGATGAGTCCTCAGACTCAGAGTCCTCAGACTCTGAGTCCTTAGACTCTGACTGAGACAATCTTAGTACATGCATTTATACCTTTCAAATATCCCAACACACACAGACTCCCCCAAGGGAACAAACCCACCCCCTGCATAAAGAACGTTCTCACAGGAAAACACACCAAGATTTAAAGATGTTGTGGAGGATCTTTTTAAAAGACCCGCCCTCTCCACTTAAAAAAAAAAATGCATGTGCAAGAGCGTGCACGAGCCCATTTCTCCTCGTGCACACACTGTTTAAAATCTGCTGTTCTCATAGTAGTTGGGTTCCAGTTTGTGGGGTTAGCTTGTTTTCCTTTTCAGTTCCACCATTTGTCCACCAGATGGTGCCATCTGGTTACTCTGTCCTGATGGGTTTGCCTACACGTTTCAACTACCCACACCTGCAATCAACCATCATCACTTCAGAGGAGTATATGAGCAGCTGAATGTCACCTTTATGCCAGAGCGTATCTCGTGAATCTTCAGCAGGAAACCTTTCAGACTCTTTGGGATTTTTCGAGTCCTTCCAGCCCTGGAAGAAATCCTCTCGAGACGCCGAGAAGTCCACAACTCCTCCCCACTGAGCTCAGACAACATCAAAGTTGACAGTCTGCTCCGCTGCTCCTCTGTGCTACCATAAACTAACTGTCCGCCCTCCAACGTCTCGTCCACCATCAACCAACCAAAGCCCCCACAACTGGAATCACATACAATCCCCAAACTCTGGCAGCTAGATAAAGTAAGAACAGAGCCTCAGTCTTCTGCATTTTTCCCACCAACTCATCATTTCTTTCTCTCCTTATATGCAGTCACACCAGGATCATTGGTTCCACCAAGCTGTGTTAACCTGGTTCCTGTTTTTTTTGCTTATCCTAAAATAAACATTCAAACTTTTACAATCTCTCTGTGACACTGCATGAAAAGTG